ATGCTACAAAAACAGATTTTTATTTAAAATTGGAAAAACCCAAGAAAAAAAGAAAAACAAATGACATTATATGAAAAAAGAACAAAAAAATTAATAATCACTGAAGGTCGGTAACTAATATTAAGATTGATACCGTTATCGGCTAAACAAAAATCAAAAGGAAAGAAAAAGACAATATAAAAATATTGAGAGAAAACTTAATTTAGAGAGAAAAAAAACACCCTCTCTTTAAACTATTTTTTGTTTTGAACCGTTTGAAACTCATAAATCGAATTTAGTTGAACCGGTTATAAAATCCAAACTAGGTAACCTATTCATGCGGGAAAAATATAAAATCTTCAGCCTATAATACTCAAACCCAAGCCTTTATAAGGCTTAACCGGTATACTAGCCACCAAGCTATAACAAATTTTGTTAGTCCAACATGAAACCATTAATAGAAGAGGAATATAAAAGATATTTTACCATGGTTCAAACCTAGGCAATTTCAAAATTTAATAAACACATTAACCACTAGATAATAATAAATATATGGGTTTTATATTCATTTAATATTAAACTGAAATTTTAATCCGTTGAATCGAAAATTAAAAGTCTAATTGACTCAATCTCCAATCTTGTTTTTACAACATTAAGGTAGAGCAAGTCATAATATTAAACTTACTTAATCCAATGCTCAGTTAATCATAATTAGCAGAGACGGATGCACTAAATTTCTTAAGGAGCAAATGTATCTCTATTATTTTAGTTTAGTAAGCTCTAACCGGCACACTGACCACCAAGCTCTAACAAATTTTGTTAATCCAACAAATTTAGTCTATCCATTAATTCATTATAAGTACGAAAATAATAAATTAAATCTACTATAAGAATAAAAATAACCCTCAAGTAATTTGAATATTAGAAAATTTAAACCTCAAACTTATGAACCCTATCAAAGTTTCATTCGTAAAAATATTAATCAATCTGTCAAATATTGTCATCCAAGAGATAACAAGGTGACTTTGTTCATAATTATGTCAGTTTGAAACCGACCAAGCTGCTGGGAGCTTGAACTTCTCTAATTCTTTTATTGTGTGGACGGTCGTCACTGTGAGACCGACATTTAAATTTTGTGAATTTTCCTTTCTTAAAGTCCACCCAATGCTTGCCTTTTCTTTTGTTTCGTAGCCTGCATTATTGGGTCATTAAGACTTTTACACCATGCACGATCGTTGCCATTTATTTTCATACTTTTAATTTTAAGTGACAAATTAAAGACTACAAATTGACACTTCTCTTTTGATTAATGTGCAGTCATGTTTGTACACGTGATAGACACAATAAACGAAGACATTCCTTCTTCAAAATTTATTTTATATTTTTATTTAAATTTATTTTCGTCTTTTAAGATTTTATAAGTATATCTCTTCTTAAAATTTTATAAGTATATCTCTTCTTAAAATTTTATAAATATATCCCTTTTTAAAATTTTATGAATTCTTAATTTATCCACATAAAATAATGCGTTTGTACTTTACTATCAATCGACATCCCCAATTTGTCAAAAAAACAACTCTTGAAAAAGAACGTTAATTTGTTTGCTAATGAAATTTTTTTTGCCTTTTCTCCTACGGGACCAAGGACACATTAAAGATCATGTTACAATTTTGGTTTTCAGCCATGGTACAGTGTAGTTTCATTGTCATGTATGTCAAGATTTCAAACTACTAGTAGACAAATTAGATTTATACAAGTGTCGGATATATAATATGATTATAAATATATTTTTAATATTTAAAAGGTTATTAAATTTTATCTCACTCATATTACAATAAAATATAGTATTTTATGCATAAAATAAATTTTTTTAAATCTTATTCAACAATATTTTTAGACTCACTGATAAAGAATTAATATATGCGTTACATTGAATATCAGTTTGATTCTTTGATTGTTATTGTCTTATTGATATGGGTTTAATTTTAGATAAGTGAGTTTTGATTATTTTATTTAAAAATATTATATAAAAATATTAAAAGATGAAAGTGCTATCTTAACAATATTAATAAAGTTAATTACATTATATGTCCCCAAACTATAATCTTTATTTTATATTGGTCCTTGAACTTTTGAATATTCCAATTGCATCTCCAAATTATGACTCTAATTATAAATTAGTCCTTAAGCTTTTGAACATTTTAATTTCATCCCTAAACAATGACCCTCCTTCTAAATTGGTTTTCAAATTTTTGAATATTCCAATTGCATCCCCAAATTCATCCAAATATGTAATTAGTTTCATCAATAGTTTAACCTAAATTTTGTTTTTTTTCAAACATATAATAATATAACTTGGTCTAACAACTTTATTAACAAGGGATTCGATTAGTATATACGTATAGTTTGGAATGAAATTGGAATATTCAAAAATTTTGAGGACTAATTTAGAATAAGGCTCGTACTTTGAAGACATGTAATACCATTAATTGAAACTTTAAGACAAATTATTAATTGGTCTAGTGAGATTTTACGTTAAATATTTTAAATAATTTTTCGATTTCAAGTCATTTTATTATAAATGAAGCAAACTAGAATGAACGGGGTGCCTCCATAATAACTTAAACAACTCATAGAATTTAAATCATACCATCGTGAATTAAACTAGATTGAAAAGATTATCCCATAATAAACTTATATAATATATAATCTAGATTGGCCGACCATTTTATATAACATATATTTTTCAAATCTTTATTCAACTAAATTGATACCTGATTACACAAACTTAATCAAAGTCAAATAATACTATAAATATATAATGTGTATTCAATATATGTAAATATATTTTGGAGAGAAGAAAACAAATAAAGAAACAATCTATGTAACCCAAGGTTGCCTATTCCACAATCATTCATGCAAACCAAAGAAAATATGACAAAAAACGACACGAATCAAATTATCTCAATAAGTTAAAGGAATGGTTGTTATTTTGAAAAGTCTCAATTAATTTAAGTACCCTGTAAAATATTTTTGTTTTCATTGTCAAATAGTGTAGCGGGATTCATGTGTGCTTTTTATGTAAAAACAAAAGTTATTTTTATTATTTCTTTTGAGGACAAAACAAATGGCAATGAAGGATATTTGACTTTGGTTTTTGTTTGATTGGGACTTGAGTTTGCTGGTTTTTGTTATTGGGTTTGTTCTTCTCTGCAAGGATCAACCTGAATGTTGGTCGAGGGCGGGTGGTGGTGCTACCGTGATCATTAAGCAGCTAACTTTGATTCTTCCATTCTAGGGGACCCCTGTTTGCTGCTGCAAACCCCATACCGGCAAAAGATCATAGTCTCCAAGAGGCAGCGCTCTATAATTGGAATTTTTTTTACTGTAATTCTTAGGTTAAGACACTTTATGACATTCTCAAAGATGGTTTCTGGAAATCTTCAAACCTTCATCAGACATGATTCTGCAAAAATTGTTAATCCTCTCTAAGCCGAGGTCTTTAGATCTGCATGTTTACCGAGCCTTTAAGGAACATCCTATGGGCAGACCTCTTAGTCGACTACAGTGCATAGACAAAGACCTCTAACAAGTGCATGTGATCTATCAGAGTGAAATTCAAAATTTAACTATCATATATATTTAGCCTATTAGTCTACAAACAATTATAATTATCCTATGTCTAACACCATCAAACTAGGGTCACTATAAATACACCCAACTAAGGCTGATAGAGGGGCTGAAACCATCTACAATATACATGCAATTTCTTTCCTTCTTATGATAAAATATCTCTTATAGAAAAATATCGGTTAACAATTGTTCCTTTATCAAATATGATTTTCCGTTTAAATTAAAAAGGATGAATCATTAACTGCAGACAACTAGACAAGAATCAAAAGTTCACGTCTAACGCTTGTTTAATAGTGACCCGATAACAAGTAATGATCCAACATTCATGGGGTCACTCACTCAATACCACACTGCCATTTAATGCATTCCAACTTTTAACTTCAGATTACAACGGTGGCACATGAAATATAAAATAGATAAATGATCTCTTATAACGACATAAAAAGAAACAAAATTATCAGTTCACAATAATGTCTCAGTTATTACTCCATAATGATTCTGCAGTAAACAACGCAGCAAAGGAACATGCATGTCTGTTTTCACATTTGGTTTTAAACATAAAATTTTCAATTTTGTAATGAAAAGGGTATCTTTCATTGTGTACATAGGTAGCCAACTTGTTGTTACATCCTTTGGAAGTGATATATATTTTACCCCATTTATGGCCCAACTATCACTTCCAAGTTCCAAATATAAACATCTGAAAGCAATGCAGGAAAAAAAAACACACACACACACAAAGGTAAAGAGGGTATTAAACGAGGAGTAAAATCACATTCACTTTTTATTGAAAGGACAGCACCATTGATGTACAAATTTGATTGATTCACAGCCAAAGGTTGAAGAAAGGACAAAAGTAGTCTAGGATTTGAGTCCGATTCTTTTGGTCTTATCCCACAATATAGTCCGGCCCCTCTCTTCTGTCTATATACATATCAGCTTCTTTCATTTCCCCATTGAAGATAAAAATAGCGTTTATAATGAATATATCAGCTTCGAGATGTAGTAGTGGTTGTGAATCGGGTTGGACTTTCTACTTAGGTCAATCCTCTTATTCTCGAACATGGAGTGGGGGAGAATTTGCCGATGATTTCGTGGTTGAAGACGAAGGGGAAGGCTTATCCATGGTGTCTGATGCATCTTCTGGTCCAAGGCATTATAATTGCCAAGATTATGCAGAATGTGTCGATGAAAATGGGAAAAACAGCAGAAACAAAAAGAAGATCAAAGAGAATTGTTGTAATCAACAACACTCTTGTCTTGATGACACTGCAAGCTCTCCTGGAGTAAGCTTTTCCGAGGCAAGTTCCATAATATTGTACATACACATACACATTAATATGCCTCTTGGGTTCACTTTTCTTCCCTTTCTGATGTATTTACAGAAGAATTTCAAGAAAGAAGCCTCAGTAGAGTTGTCGGGCTTTTCAGAAAGTTTTTCGGGTACACATTTTAAGGGTGAATCAGCATTCCAGAAAAAACTTGGTTTCTTGAAATCTGGAAAAACAAGTGCAAAACATGCAGGTGAGTCTTTTGCTTTCAACTTTTCTCATAGACATTCATATTCGTTGGCCTGAAAGAATATAAATTTGATGGTTTCCAGGAATGAAGCAGGGAATGACAAAAGGGTAAACTACTGTAACAGCTTTTGTCTCAACTACAACAGCTGTTCTGGAAAGTGAAATAGGAATGTTGTAAAAAAAAACATGGCCTTGGATCTCAAAGGGATCTTTTTTTATTGTTTATTTTTAATTTGATCCTGTCAATGCAGTAGGAAACGACCCGAGAACATTAATAAAATAAATTCAATCTTTCTCTGTCAATAGGTTTGCTTTTCTCCAGTTTATTTCTTGGCCAAGTGAATCTGGTTTTATTAGCATGGAATCTATGTTCTTCAGGTTTGTCCACTATAAAGTGAATGGTTTAAAACTAGTAATACTCTAGAAAGAATGTTGTTTGTTTTACAACTTGATTGAGTGGAGGACTTGAAAATTTTGAATTTTGTGCCCACAAAATAAATTTGCTGGTTAAATTTGGAAGCTGGTCAGAAAGATTAGTCCCCATCTTCTGGCAGAATGATAAAAGGGGGTTATATAGGTTGAATCATTGAACAAATTAACCTTGGTGTCTTCAAATTTAACCACATAAAATAACTGTGGTCCTTGGATGGACAGGGTGTCTTTACTTTTCCATTAATCAACTGAGTACCTTTTTTTCTAGCCCATTTCTGAACATCCAGGCACACAGCTAACACAGAAAATTGAAGAGCCGTATTGATTATATGAATCTGGTCATACTACTCAAGTTGACAGCCTTATAGTCGCGGGTTCATTATTCTTTTCTCAAAAAAAAATACAACTGATAAGATGTGTAGTGTCACGATTTTTAAATTCTAACATATCTCTTTCTCTTTTCGACGTGGGATTGATATTTCTCACATCTCCAAAGCGTGACATTCTCAGTTCCTCAATTTTCTGACTCCCTCGTCACATATCATTATCGCAGTTGTCCACTTTGCTTACTTCATCTATTGAGATACTTGACGTAAAATCAATTAGTCAAAAGATTGTTCTGATGCTACTTATCACGTAATCATTGCTCTTTTACAAAAAAAATATATATATCCAATATGATGTATAACACTACCACCTTTTAACTTTACAATCTTTTACCTATCCAAAACGTGACACTAACATAAAAGCTAAGGATTAATAAATTCGGGGACTTTTGGGTGAAAGGAAACAATAGGGCAAAGCTTGATTTTCCAGCAGGAAGGGTCCAAAAAGGGCACCATATCCACCAAAAATGTGATTCATACATAAACGGAGGGTGCAATTATTGAGTTTTGCTTTGGGTTATCAGTTTCCCTTTCAAGATTATTAAGTGAAGGTGTTTTTGCCATGCCATCCTGAGAATTAGCTATAGGAAAACCGTACTAGGACAAGGACTTGGACCTTAGGAAAAGGACAATTTTTCCTTCCCCCTCTTTGTCTCTCAATCCTTCTTGTTTCAATAATTTTGATAAAATAATATCTTACATATATTCAACTACTAAAGTTAACGTAACTGTAGAATTTATTAAGTGTTCTCGATTATTAAAAGGAATGTTGTTTTTTCTTATGATATTGAGTTTAAGTAATTACGTCTACAAGAAGTATGCATTATCGATAACTAAAAAATATTTTAAACAAATACTATCTTATAATCATCTTAGATTATTTTAAGAAAATTAACGTAACCAAGTATTACTAACATCGGCAATGGAATTAAAATTAAACCTTAAAATAAATTAAATTATAATTTTACGGTGACGACAGATTTCTGAAAAAATATCTATGAAATCGTATATGGTGAAGCCAGTGGCTTTCGGTATACTGTTGTGGGAGTACATCACTGAAACTACTTTCATGCATACGGATGATATGCTTTAAATGCCCCACTGAAGTTAGGAAAATAACACAGGGTCATCTTCTTTTCATCGTATCTTTTTTTTCCTTCCCCTTCTATTATGTTCTTTATCGAGTAAACTACAAATTTATTTACTTTCGTTAGAGTTTTATAAATTTATAGTCATTGGATTCAAAAAATATAATACACAGTCACTTTTATTTTATTTTAGTTAAGATGTGGTCGTTGAAACGTTTACTTTAACGGCATGAGACATTAATAAAAGGGTTTAATTTTTACTTTAACCCTTGAATTTTAAATAAAATACTAATTAGGGATCATTTTATAAATTCAAAGTAATTTAGAGACAAAGTTCTAATTTTCCCTTTTTTAATATACTTTTCTTCTTCCCAAGCTTCCCCACTTACTCCGGAGGAATATATTTGCAGAGGTTGTTGAACAAAGTCACCACCACCGTGTGAGTTGTAACTTCCCAGCTGGTTTATGATAATCCTTCATAAAGTGACCAAATCTGTTATATATTTCGAAGGATTGCATTTAGATATAAAGTCTTTATGTCTAAGCAGGAGATTTGTGCTCTGCCACTAATTGTTTTTCAAATGACCAAAACACAATAAAAAATGAAAAACAATAATTTCCAAGATTTTCCTACTATTCACTTATGCAGAACCATCAGTTAAGAAGCGAGGACCATTTACATAAAACAAAGAACACTTTCTTCACTTAATGGCAGGATGTAGTCAGCTCCATACTTAATATGACAAATGATAGCTTCTGTGGTGGGAATGTTTAAATTACCATAAAATATCAAGTTCAAGAGGTTAAAGAAATAACATACCGAAACCACGACCGGGTTTGCAGTTGCACATTCACAGTGCCATATATCCTGCAAAAGCTGCAATTAAATTTCTAATATTTCCGCACAATGGAAGCACATCAAAATCTTAAACTTTGTAGGTGACTTTCCTAATAGGCTAGCTAAAACCATCTCGAACCATCGGAGGTTGTCATCACTCGGCAGTATGTTCTGTTGGATTTGGCGTGACTTAAAATCCCATCTCCGGTAATATGTTTCTTCGTAACGGCTACGGATTTCGGGTGCGGAGGTTTTGATCAGTTTGCAAAACTCGTTCAAGGTAGCAATGTTTCCAGATCGTTGGAGGAAAGGGGTGTGCGGCGGCGCAAGTGGGGAAGCTAGGGGAAGAAGAAAAGTACATTACAAAGGATAAATTAGAATTTTATCTTTAAATTACTTTGAATTTATAAAATGATCTGTATTTAATATTTTATCTAAAATTTAAAGATTTAAGTAAAAATTAAACTATTTTACTAACGTGTCACGTCAGAAGTCAATGTTTCATTAATTACATCTTATTTAAAATAAAACGAAAGTGACTATGTATTATATTTTTTAAATGTAGTGATTATAAGTTTATAAAACCCAAATAAAAATTATCAAATTTGTTAATTTCTTTGTTTGACCTATTGTATTTTTTATTTTATCACATCTTTATTTTTTTTATTTTTAATAATTATATATTTATTATATTTTTTTATATATTAACACGTTTTTAATTTTTTTTTATTGATCGCATGACATTATAATATGGCACACAACAGAGCTACCCTCTATATCCATAATATCATGCCGACCATAGTTTATTTCCACTTAATGACATCGAAGACTTGAAAATTTTGAATGTTCAATCACAAATAAATTTGCTGTTAAAATCTCAACACTGTCAGAAAGACTAGTCCTAATCTTTTGGCAGAATGATAATAAAAGGCTTATAAAAGTTGAAATCAATGAACAAATTTAACCTTGAAATCTCCATATTTAACCAGAAAAAAAAAGATTAAAAAAGTTGGGTAAACTACATTTTAGTACTTAAACTATCAAATTTGTTTCGTTTTAGTATCTAAACTTTCATTTATTTCAATATCATACCTACATTTCCTTTTCATTTCATTTTAGTAACTGTTGTTAAAAACTTAACGGAATTGTTGCACAAGACATTTTATGTATAAATTACATCATTTGTCATTTAACTATCTTTTTACTCCTATTTTGGTCACTACAGTTTAAAAAAAATCAATTTAACTACTCAAATTTTAATTTGGTCATATTTTAATCATTCTAATTTATCTTATTAATAATTTTTGTGACATGTCATTTTTTATTATTTCATTAATATATAATTAAAATAAAAAATTTGAAAGTTATGATTAAATTAAAAATATACGATTAAATTAGGAGTACTTTGAAAGTTAAGTAATTAAAATAAAAAAAATTAACTTCAATGACCAAAATAGGAGTAGTTGAGTGATGAACGATGTAATTTACTTATAGAAAATGTCATGTTGTAACGGTTACCAAAATGAAATAAAAAAGTAAACATAAGATATAATTTTGAAATAAAGGAAAGTTTAGATACTACAAATGAAATAAAATTAATAATTTAAATATTAAATGTGTAGTTTATCCAGAAAAGTTTTAAAAACAGAAGAAAAATAGTCACCATAAATGATAGATGTGGTCCTTGGATTGACAGGGTGTATCTTTATTCACCATAAATCTGGGCCAGGCAAGTACCATTTTGCAGCCCATTTGTGCACACCCGATCACAAAGTCAGCACAAATAGTGGTAAATATTCGATTGAGTAGACTTGTTTAAGTAAAAATAAATTAAGTTTATGAAATTTGAGTCGACTGTTTAAATTTAATTATAAATATTTATAATATTATGATATTATTTAATTTTAATTTAAACGATTTTTTGTAAGCATATATAATATATATTTATTCAAGATAATATTTATTCAGAATTTTTTTTTAGTAACAAGAGTGCACCACGAGAGCAGTGAGAAAACTAGAAATTAACTTGTTCTGGTTGCATTCAATAACATCCGGACAGCATCCAGGGGCTGGGGAAACACCTCAAGGTCCATTCTACCATTCTGTCCCATATGTGCAAGAGCATCTTGTTCTTCTCGCGAGAAAGATAGTGGAGGCTGAAGTTCCAACATTGATCGATTATCTTGCAATTCTTCGGATGATAGCAGCTTCATATATACGAGGAGGGTTACTAAGGATGTCCACGGCCTCCTTTTTATCTGTCTCAATTTCAATATCCTTTATACTTCGCTCTTAATTGATAATATTCATACTATGTAAATACAACTATTTAAACTTAAAAATTTTAAGAAGAATATTTTCTTTTGTCACTGGTATCATTTTATTAGTTCTCGAAGATAGTATTTAAATGACAACAAATTAAATGTCTATGTATATTAT